ACACATATATAATACATAACACACATATAATACATACCATATACACACCACACACACATACACACACACCACACACACATATATAATACATAACACATACAAACACACACCACACATACACACACCACACACACATACACACACACATATATAATACATAACACATACACACACACCACACACACACACATACACACACACACACATACACACACACCACACACACACACACACACACCACACACACACACCACACACACACACCACACACACACACCACACACACATACACACACACCACACACACATACACACATACACACACACACACACACACCCCGAGGGGTTCCCGCTGAGGTCCCAAAGATAATGGGACGTCCCTCAGGTCTTGCACCTGCAGATTTGTGGAGCACCTGGTCACATGACTATGACTGTCTGTTTTCCACATGCAGGACACATGTGCAGTGAGGTTGCCTCATCTCCAGGACGTCGAAGCTCCACATTTGGACTGGGCCAGCTCAAGGGCAGGAGGTAGTGAGGTCCGTGAGGATGAGGGTGCTGTGTTGAGCATGGCCCTATCCCGATCCCACGGAATACAGTCCTAACAATTTTGAGCAGTAAGGATTGGTGAGTCCATTTTACAGAGGGGAACACTGAGGCACTTGTGTGTTTTGTTCTTGTTTTTAGGATTTATCCAAAGATTCAAGTTATAGTGTCGGGATATCAACTCAAATTTCTCTGCTTTTCAAATGTCTACGCCCATCTTTATAACTTCAAAAGTGACGTCCTGGTCTGGGGTAATGGCTCCCTTGGTAAAAGTGTTTGCCACAAAAGCCCAAGGACCTGAGTTGATCCCCAGTAACCCTGTAAAAGCAAACACAAAAACAAACAAACAAACAAAAAACCCTGAGCCCTGTGCACAGTTGTGATATGAGGACTGGGAGGTGGAGTCAGGCCAGCCAATCAGTGAGCTCCGAGTCACTCGGGCCATGTCTGAGAAAATAAGGTAGATGGCACCTGAGGAGTGACACTCAGGGAACAGGACCTCTCTCTTCCACAAGCACATGCACACCTGTACACACAAACATGCACACCTGTACACACACAAACATGCACACCTGTACAAACATGCACACCTACAGAAACATGCATACCTGTACACACACACACACACACACACACACACACACACACACACAGGCATACCAGCCTTTTAAAACAAAGGAAACAACATTGACTGCCTCCCATTACTTATAAAAATCAACTTTTAAAAATTATTTTTACTTTGCTATGCAGTTGGTGTCGAACCTTTAGTTCCAGCACTTGGGAGACAGAGGCAGGTAGACCTCTGTGAGTTCTAGGCCAGCCTGGGCTACAGAGTGAGTTCCAGGACAGGCTCCAAAGCTACACACAGAGAAACCCTGTCTTGAAAAATCGAAAAGAAAAAAAAAATTTTTTAAAGCATTTTTAACCTGATGCGTATGGTTGTTTGCCTGCATGTATGTCTGTGTACCACATGCATGCCCGGTACCTGTGGAGGCCAGAATGGGCATCAGATCCCCTTGGGCTGAAGTTAAGATAGTTTCCAGCTGCCCTGTGGGTAACGGGAACTGAACCCAGGTCCTTTCTCTGAAAGAGCAGCCGGTGCTTTTAACCATGGAAAGATGGCTATCTTTCCAGCCCCTGAAAATTAATTTTTCCCAACATGTAGTGTTGTCTACTGAATGCCAAACACAGTGTTAGACCATGGGGTGTGCCCAAACACAAGGGACCCTGTTAGGGACTGAGAGCACGGATTTAGACAATGTCCCACCCGCCTGCCTGCAGCTGGGTTTTATGGAGGCGTTTCCTCAACTGAGGCTCCTTCTCCAGTGACTCCAGCTGTGTCAAGCTGACACAAAACCCAGCCAGCAC